TCGGAAGAACAGTGTGAGTAAAAATGCAGCAGCAGCTATGAGGATGAATTGTTTCTTGGCCTGTGAAGAAAACTCTCTGTGGAAAAAAGCATTGTTGGGGGAGATGAAAAGGAGAAGATTGGGCCCACAGAGATCCTGAATTCCAAGAATACTAAATCAAGCAAATTCAACATCAGGATCCAAGAGTCTATTGTGTGGGCAGTGAGCAATGATCTTGGGCTTTAAACGGTCAGTGGACAATAAAAAATTAAATTTTAGGAAGATGAATTTGGTGATAGTGGAGATTAGAGGAAAAAGGATTAAAGGCAAAAAACTGTCCCCCCCAAAAAACCTGAATGCTTCTTTAAGCGCTACTAAAAGTTGGACTGTATGCAAAAAAAACAAACCGTCCCTCCCCTGCCAGACTTCACAGTCTAATAGGAAAGTCATTCATTAATCCCATAGTTAGCCACTAAGGACCCTCTATGTGCCAAGGATTATACTGGGCACTGGAGACACCAAAGTTTCCACCCTCATGAAGCCTATCCTCCAACATGTGGAAGACTATATAAAACCAAACCATTAAGTATATTCACACAGAGTCAGGTAACAAATGCTAGGAAAAAAAGAAAGTAGGGCACTGGGTGCAGAGTGGTGGGATGCAGTAGTCAGGGAAGGCCTTCCCAAAAAAGCTGCCACAATATTTCAAGCCCAGAGAACAAATAAAATGGAGCCGTCACTGCTAGGAATAAGGATACTGAGAAGAGGACGTAGCTCAGTAAGAGTATAGGGAAGAAGGTAAGGAGTCTTGTTTTAAGTGTGTCAAGCTGTGATAATAGCAGGGTATCCACGCAGAAATACTGGACTCTAGAGCTCTTGTCTACAAGACCAGAGGAGATAAAGACTAGACATATAAATTTCAGTGTCTTCTACTGATATTTGAGTGATAAGAAGCCTTCTTTTTAAAACTATGAAAAGTAACTAAGGGACTAAAAAAAACTCAAGTGGGGTAGTTTTTAAATTACAAATAGTTTTATAATATTGTAGAAGGAAAATAAAAAGAACAGAGTATAGTTTAAATAATAAGCATAATACAAGTAGTAGTTAGTCAAAAGCAAAGGCCATTTAAGAGTTGTACAGAGGCTAAGGAATTTAAATAATCCCTCCCTAGTGAAGCTGCAAGCTTATCTTGCATTCTAGGCTACCTTGTAAACTGTGTTTAGAAAAAAGTAAAGTCTAGGAGACTGGGCACCACCCTTAATCACACTCCTATCTATAGATAGCAGACATAACATGGAGAAACGTCCTTCATCGTTCTCGCTCAATCTTGCTCAAAGTCCCACCCGATCACGTACTCCACGCCTACTTCATTGATCACAACCCTCTCACATGTACTTTCTAGAATTGTAAGCCTTTAAAAGGGCTAGTATTTTCTTTGTCGGGGAGCTCAGTTTTTGAGACACAAGTCTGCTGATGCTCCCAGCAGAATACAAGCCAATTCCTTCTTTAAATCTGGTGTCCAGGAGGTTTCATCTGCATCCTGTCCTGCTACTGAGATAGGAGACCTCCTTCCCTCCTCCCACTTCCCAGCCTCCACCTCCCTCCTCCCTTCCAGATGGGAAGAAGGGTGAAAAAGAGATAAAATACCAAAGAGCTTAAATCTGTGGTCAGGCAATTTGCTGACACCACTGACCAGACCATAAAGAGCCCCAAGGACTGGGAAGATAACTCTTTTCAGTTCCCAGTGCCTCTGCTATCTATAAGCCTTGAAAAAGTTGCAAAGAATGTATCACTACCAGCTGGAGCCAGGCACTGGGTCACGTCCTCCACATTTGCATTACCCAGGCCCCCTCCTGGAAATATCTCTGCCAACTAATAATTTGCTGCCTTTGTCTTGCTTCTGTAAGCCCCCTCCCCTGCCTGTTCCCTCTCACACTGCTTATGAACTAGCAAATCAATGAAGCCAAAGTTTGTGAGGTCAAATGTCCAGCCAATGAACAATGACACAGTTTCACCTCTGCACCCCCTTTAGAGTTGTAAGCCCTTAAAAAGGGAAAGAAACTGCTCTTCAGAGAGCTGAGTGGTCAAGGCATTAGCCTCCCGAGCTCTTGGCCAAATAAAAAGCCACTTCCTTTCTCAGTTCTGTGTTTGAGAGGTTTGTTCCCTGCTGATCCTGCTACACTACAATATCTCCTATAATGGTTCCCTCCCTCCAGCTGCCCGGAATCCCAGAGGTGTGCAGTGACTTTGTGTAGGCAGCAAAGAGCTAGTAACAAAATTATTACTATTATTATTATTGAAGCTGATTTACAACTAACCATCCAAAAGACCTCTTTCCCCTGTGTCTTCAATCTCCAAGGCAGAGTGGTAGAGACAGTTTCATCCTTCCTCTGCACTGACCCCTTGAACCACATGCACCTCTTTGTGACTTTACCCTCTGCAGATGGCTCTGAATGTCTTAATGTCTGGGAGAAAGGGATTTAGAAAGCAAAATATAAAAATTTAAACTAGACCTTCCCACCTTCCTAGAAGTGGCAAGGGTCAAATGTTGCAATAGACTCAAGGACAGATGACCACTTCAGTTTGCCTGGAAGTGCCTTGGTTTTAGTAGTGGGAGTCCTTCATTTCAGAAAACCCCTCATCCCTGAGCAAAATAAGATGGTTGGTCACCCTATGGCTTGGTTTGACCATCATAGCTATCACCTGCATACATGACACAACATAGTGTTTTATTTCCCTAAAAATGACATCAGCTTCATTAAAGTACGTGTTTAGTTTCCAAACCCTACCTAGTCCCCTCCTACCCTAGGAGCCAGGCTCTCTTTTCCCACCCAGACAGAGTTGCTGCTCTCAGAAATTCCTAGACATGAGTTGACACTGGATTCCTTAGCCTTCTACTCCCATCATCTCCCACTCAGCCCCAGCTACCACCTAAACTAGGAAGATCAAATCTACCAGTGACCTCTGTCCGTGGCACTTGCTGCCCCTCCTCTGCTCAGCCCTTGCCAATATAGCTGCTGGAACCTGGGGGTCAAAGTCAAATTATCAGAAAAGGATCTGAGCTGGCAATGTGCTCTAACACAGCAAAACACAGGAAAGGGGAACCCCAGATAAATTACAGCCTGCTGACCTAGGAAGATGTGTGGTTTGTGTCTCTGAGTTACAGAAACACAGGAAATGCTTACTGGCCAGTCAATTTCAGAGTTTGGGGTCCCAAGTTAGGCTGACTCACCTTCAGAATGGAAACCAAGTGACAGCCCTCATATCAGGGCACATATCACGTGTTCTTCCAGAAGCAATGAGTTTGGAACCCTCACAGATACTGGGAAAGCTCACAAATCATTTCTGCCAGTTATTAGAGGTTCTGAAATTATAAGGAAGATTCAAAGAAAATGCCAACACTGACATTAAACTTGGCAGGAACCCCTGTTACAGAATTTTCTTGCCTGACAAGGTTAAAAGAACAATAAGCAGGAAACACAATCCTCCAGGAATAATCCCATTTGGCCCTTAGTCACCTTGACTCAAACAGACTAAATTCTAAAATGCAGAATTTCAAATAAGCTAATTAGATAACCTTGACCATTCTCCACACACAAACCCTTGCCTGAACTATTAATAGCCAAGGCAAAGGGTAGTTGTTATTGCTGCCTTTTTAAACTGAATCATCTGGGAAATTGCTTCAGACCCCCAAAGAAAGATTACTGTTAACAATTCAAAAACTAAAACATTTGATACCTGAGACGGCCCTTCCCCCGACCCGCCCTTCAGGGCTCAGTATGACCGACTCTGAAGGCTGTTGCAAGATTGCATCACTGACCTTTGCAATTTTCTGGCCAGCTTGATTTCCCTTTCTTTCCCCTGCACCCTCCCTTTCTCTGCTTAAAGCCCTTTGGCCAATTTGCCTCTCCTTTTCCCCTACTTTGCTAAATCTGGCATATCTATAACCAAAGGCAAATGAGAAAGCTACCTCGGCCCCAGGTGATTATATCTAATCCTGGTCAAAATCAGTCCTGTATCTTCACATATCCAAGAGTATTCACACTCTGGATTCTTACCTAAGCTGTCCACTGCACATCCTTCTGCCCCAAACTGCTTCAATGCTGAAGTTGAGCTGGAGCAGTAAAGCTGTACCCCCAAACCCAGGAGGGTGGCAGAGAATTATTGAGGAGAGCATGAAATACTTCCATTCTTGAATAGCAGACGAACTTCTACCAACAGCCTCTTCCATATTCGAACCCCCCACCCCAACCCAGCTCCCAACTCGATGTCTCAAGTGGAAGTGAGAAGAATTTGAATTTAAAGGCTGTTCCCTGATACACCGAAGTACATAAGGAAAGAGCTTGCGGGCAAAGAGACTAACTTTCTCTCTCTCTCTCTCTCTCTCTCTCTCTCTCTGTCTCACACAAACACACACACACACACGCACCTCTGTGCATAAAAGTCACCATCATTGAATAGTTTTCTATCAACTGACTCCAGCTCTACATGCATGCACCTCTCAATAAAACCAATCAGGCAGGAAAGAAACAATATTGGCACATACTGCTTCATCCAAGCGTGACCTGTTCTATTCTATTACCCAGATGCCTCCTCCTTGCCTTCTCCTCTCTGATCCATTGCCACACGCGTGGAAAGATGACAACCTTCCGAATAAAAATTAAAGCTTTCTCCTTTAGGTGGAGCCCCCAGATTCCCTCATTATTTATGATGTCAAGTTGCCCTTTACGAAGAAAGCTGTGCACCCACCAACACCAGTTAGAAGGTGCCATCAGGCCAGAAATGTCCATGGACACCTCCCTGGGCTCAGATCCTCCCTGCGCTCGCCTGTAGTGGGACCTTCCTGTGCAGGTGTGCCCTCCCGCGCGCGTGCCCCCCCTGCGAGTCCCCTTGCTCACACAGTCAGAGCGTGCGCAGCGCGTGGCCACCTCCCGCCAGATCCCAGCTGGGTTCCACCCCCTCCTCTCCCCTCCTGCCTTTCCTCCCCCCCCACTTCCCCTGGCTCTGGCTGCACTGGCCTGGGCCAGAGAGCCTAGGAGGCGTGGCTCGGAGAAAACATATAAGCGCACCGGACGCTAACACGGTGCAAGCTGCGGAGTCTCCATCTGGAAGAGCCGCTGCTGCCGAGAGGAGGAGAACGCCGAGGCCGGCGGGACCAACAGATTCGCTGACCGCCACATTCGCTGACGGCCACATTCGCTGACCGCCTCCGACTCCAGCTTGCGCTGCCTCCTGCTCGCGCCGCGCCACTAAGGTGGTCCCCCTTTCTACCAGCCCTCCCCAAGATAAGCTGGGTGCGGGGTGGCGGGAGGCTGCAGCCATTCTCCGGTGGCTAACGTCCCCTCTCCTGCTGCTCCTCCTGCAGGTCACTCCGGCCTCCGAGAGCCCAGAGCCGAGATGGAAACGGTCCAGGAGCTGATCCCCCTGGCCAAGGAGCTGATGGCCCAGAAGCGCAAGGGGAAGCTGGTGAAGCTGTACGTGCTGGGCAGCGTGCTGGCCCTCCTCGGCGTGGTGCTCGGCCTGATGGAGACTGTGTGCAGCCCCTTCACTGCTGCCAGCCGTCTGCGGGACGAGGAGGCAGCCGTGGCGGAGCTGCAGGCCGCCCGAGAGCGACAGGCTCTCCAGAAGCAAGCCCTGCAGGACAAAGGCAAGCAGCACGACACCATCCTCTGCGGCAGGGCCCTCTCCAACCGGCAGCACGCCTCCTAGAAATGGTGGGAGACCAGTACAGTGGGAGGGAGAGGCGGCAGACAGAGCGAGCAAAACGGATTGAGAGAGGCAGGGAGAGACGGAGAGGGCGCGCGCACGGGAGCCTGACTCTGCTGGGAGACTGCAGGTGCACGTGCTGTTTGTTATCTGGATTTACTTCAGAGAAGCCACTGACATCTAGAACTGACCTACCACAAGCATCCACCAAAAGGAATTTGGGATTGAGTTTTGCTGCTGTGCAGCACTGCATTGTCATGACGTGTTCAGTACTGTGTATCTTTGAGTTATCTAAACACGTCTACCATTTTGCACTAGGGAGGAAGGATAAATGCTTTTGGATAAATGCTTTTTATATTATTATTATTATTATTACAATGACCACCATTTTGCATTTTGAAATAAAAAAAATTTTTATACCACATCTCATTATCTAATTCCTGAGAAGTGTGGTGTCCTGGGGTGGGCGGCAGGGAGCCTGAGCAGGAGGGCGATGGTGAGAGGGTCTCATGGCTGCACTGCAGAGGGAGCAGCTTCCTGAAGGTCAGACACTTGCTTCATACCTAGGAACTGTGTGATAAGCTACTACATCCATACAAGTCTGTTGAGTGCTCGTTTTTGCTTCTTGTTAGGAGTGAGAAAAGGGAAACTTTTATAAGTTCCATGAGATTTAGCATTTCAAGATCAGAAGGTAGATCAACTTCTGAGCTAGAGTGAGCGGGAGATAACTGATTAATTCTAAGGCAGAAAAGTTCTTTGTTCCTCACACCTGTGCACCAGAGGGTCCCATGGCTGATACCTTTTTCTTCCCAACTGTATTTTAGAGAAAGAGAGAGAGAAGGGAAGAAAAGGAAGGAGGGAGATCTGGAGGGGAGGGGAAGGGAAGAAAGGGAAAACTAGCTACCTGGCAGGAAAAGAGAGAATCTCCCAAGAACACCAAATCAGATGAGTCTAGCTCTACCCAGCCTTCCTCTCCACGAACCCAGATCATAATAAGAAACCCTGGGCTAGAAAGAGAAGAAAATTGCTTGTCATATGTCAGAGTCCTCCTCCTTTAGTGGACAGATCTTCATCTGTAGTAATAGCTAATTCAGTGACTCTACAGGGCTCAGCATAAGAAATTTTACGCTTGAAAGAGGTAGCCAGGAGCCAGAGGCACAGCCTTGACGGTAGTCTCTGCACGTTTTTCACATTACCTGTTCTAATCAGGTACTGACACTTTACTCCTTTGATCAACAGCTGTGCATTTTTGCCAAACACACCACCGGCTCACACCGTTGCCTCTGCCCAGACTCTCTCCCTCATCCAACGCCCCACACATCTCCATTTCATTTCTGCCAACTCCATTCCTACCCAGTGTTCCTGGCCCTGATCAAAAGCCATCTCCCTCTGAAATCTATTCTTACCACTCCCAAAGGAAAAAGCAATCAGAATGTGGTAAGATTATCCGAGGAAAAGAAACATATTTGGAATTTAAAAGGAAAAGAAGAATGTCAGTGGCATCACTGACATAACTCAAAGTTCTCAAAGTTCTCCCAGCTTCCAAAATGGGAAATTCAGCCCCATTCCAAGGCAGAGCCTCCATTTCAATGTCCAAGAAACTTCTTAGGAACTGGCTCAATTTGACCCTTCTTGCTGCTCTTCCAAATGCCTCTTCTATTGTATTAATTATACTCCTTTGCCCATTCAGCTACCACCTTGTCTGGCTTTCAATGTTCAAACCACCCCTGCACCCTCTAACACAGTCGCCCTAAACAGTCCCTTGTCAGACTGTCCTTCCTTTAATGCCTTTCATTCTGCTGCCCCTGAACTCAAAAACATCTGAGACTAAAACTCCCATGCCAGGTTTCAGTGCCTCTGATGTGTTTCTGTCTCAGCCAGCCCTCTTGCCTGATTTCTCAGGCTGCCTACCATGAACCCTGGTCCCCTCCTGTTCCCTCCTGGTTTTTTGTACCTTTGCTTACATTACTCTTCCAATGTGAATGTCCTCCCACCCACTACCTCCACATCTCCTGAAACCGCATATTTCAAATTCTCCAAGGGAGGTATGATTTCAAATACAGGCATTTCGCCCATTGTCAAGCTACATGTAAAATTGTGTGCTCTGATTTTTTTATTTAGAAGGTAAGGCCTATGTTTTGAATGTTTGCCTATACGTAAAAAGTTACCTAAATATATAGGTATGCCTATATGTTTTTGTGTAGAGAGAAATTTCCCATGCCTATGTATGTTCAAATTACCCAACCCAATCAAGACTGAGCTGTTGAAATCCTGTTCTCACTGGTCGTCTTAATTCTCTGAGTTCTTAAATGCCTGAGTCTCACACTGCATCACTCACTAATGGACTTTTTTTTTTCCAGTTGATCTGTAGGCTTGCTCATGTCTCTTATAGTATAATCTTCTTGAGGTCAAGGACCATGTCTTCTTTAGTGTTCACAGAAATCATTAGGTCCTAGCCAAATAGTAGGTTCTTAATAAATAGTTGATTGTTTAATTAATCATTTATGAGGTTACAGCAGTGACTGTAAATTAAAGGGAAAGCAGTTTTGTCCCCCTAGAGAATATTTGACAGTCTAAAGACACTTCTGGTTGTCTGGGTGAAGGGAGGGGGCAGTACAGCAGGCATCTAGAGGGTAGAAGTCAGGGGGCTGTTAAATATCTTCTAATGCACAGGACAGCCCCCAACACAAAGAATTCTCCAATCCAAATTCTCCAATAGGGCAGAAGTTGAAAAATTCTGAGTTAGAGGAATATAAGGAAAAAGGATTTGCTTAATAATTTCAGAAACGAAGTTTTGAGGTGGTCTCACAAGGCTATGTCTGGTTATGATCAAACATAATAAGTCCCTCTCTGAACTCAGGAACAGTAATTGTCTTTTGTCCTCTTCTGCTTGGTAATTTTACCAACAACCTAGGAGAGGTAGCAGAAGGTACACCCATCAGTTCTGTTGGTGACACAGAGCTAAGATAGCACAGTCAGAACTCAAAACAACTCAATAGGCTGGAATCATGCACCAAAGCAAAACCAACAAACTGAAGAGGGAAAAGATACAGTACAGAATTCGGGTCCACAAAACCAATTGCGCAAGCACAGATTTAGAAAGACATATCCTAGCAGCAGATCATGTGAAACAAACCTAGAGGGTTTTTTTTTAAATGTCTGACACATTATAATTGTACATATTTATGGAGTACAATTTGAAGTTTCCACACATGAACACATTCTGTAGTGATCAAATCAAGGTATTTGGCACAGCCATCACCTCATGCATTTGTCATTTCTTGTCTTGAGAACATTCTTCTCTTCTAGATATTTTGTAATATACAATAGCTTACTATTAACCATAGTCACTCTACTATGGAAAAGAACTCCAGAATTCCTCCTAATTGAAACTTTGTAACCCTTGACCAGCCTCTCCTCATTCTCCTCCCGCATCTCCTCCCAAGTGTCTGTTAATCACAGTGATCTACTCTATACCTCTATAAGATCTATCTATATAGATAGATCTTATATAGATCACTTATATATTCCACATATAAGTGAGATCATGTGCTAGTTGTCTTTCTGTGCCTGGCTTATTTCACTTAACAGAACATCCAGGTTCATCCACTCCATCTCAGAGCTGAGATAGGATATCATTCTTTTCACTGCTGAATAGTATTCCACTGTATACATATACCACATGTTCTTTATCCTTTCATCCACTGCTGGCACTTAGGCTGATTTCATGTTTTGGCTATTGTAAATAGTGCTGAAACACACATGGGAGTACGGATATATCTATACACCCACTAGTGGGGATTCTGGATCTTATGGTGGCTCTACTTTTAATCTTTTAGGAACCTCCATGCTGTTTTCCATTGCATTCGGGGCTGTACTAATTTACATTCCCACCAACAGTGTATAAGCATTCCCTTTCTACCACATCCTCACCAACACTTGCTTTCTTTTGTGTTTTGATAAGAGCTATTCTAACTATAGTGAGGTGGTATTTAATTGTGGTTTTGATTTTTATTTCCCTGGTGATCAGTGATGTTGAGCATTTTTTTCGCATACTTGTTGGCCAATTTTATGTCTTCTTTTGAGAAATATCTATTAAAATTTTTTGCCCATTTAAAAAATTAGGTTACTTGGGTTTATTTGGCTATTGAATTGTTTGAGTTTCTTATACATTCTGGATATTAACCCTTTGTCAGATGTATAGTTTACACATATTTTCTCCCATTCTGCAGATTGTCTCTTCACTGCTGTTTCCTTTGCTGTGCACAAACTTTTCAGTTTGATGTAATCAAACTGAAAACCATTTGTCTATTTTTGCTTTGGTTGCCTATGTTTTTGAAGTTTTATCTAAAACTTTTTTGCCTAGTCCAATGTTTCAAAATGTTTCCCCTATATCATATTCTAGTAGTTTCATAATTTGTGATTTTATATTTAAATCTTTAATCCATTTTGAGTTGATTTTTGTAGTCATGCATGACTTAACGGTGGGGATATATTGTGAGAAATGCTTTGCTAGGTGATTTTGTCATTTGTGCAAACATCATAGAGTTTACTTAAAACACACCTAGATAGTACAGTCTACTACATACCTAGGCTATATGGTATAGTCTATTGATCCTAGGCTATAAACCTGTATGGTATACTACTGTACTGAATATTGTAGGCAATTGTAACACAATGGTAAGCATTTGTATATCTAAACATAAAAAGGTATAGTCAAAATACATTATTATAATCTTAGAGGACTATCATCATATATACAGTCCCTCATTGGCTAAAATGTTATGTGGCACGTGACTGGATACAGTGAGAGATCAGGATCTAGTCTCGTTCTTCTGCATGTGGATATCAAATTTTCCCAGCACTACTTATTGAAGAGACTGTCTTTTCCCCAGTGTGGGCTCTCGGCAACTTTGCTGAAAATCAGTTGGCTGTGAGTGAATTTATTTCTAAGCTCTCTATTCTGTTCCATTGGTCTGTATATCTGCTTTTATGCCAGTATCATGCTGTTTGTGTTATTATAGCTTAGAAGTTTATTTTGAAGTCAACTAGTATGATGACTCTAATTCTGTTCTTTTTGCTCAGATCTAAAGATTTGTGGTGATTACAAGTTCAATAAAAGCCAATGAGGACTTATAATAGGGGTGCTAAAACAAATTAATGCTTCATTAGTAGAAGTATAATTGCAGAAAAAGAGAAGGGCAGGTGGCTTTGTTATGCTTTGTATTCTGTCAGGGTGAAAAACGAAGAGTTTAAATCAGACTGCCTATATTTGCTTGGGTTTGCATCTTGACTCTCCTATTTGTAGTTCTAAAACCTGTGAAAGTTATTTATACTCTCTCTCTTGAGTTACTTAAATTCTTTCTTCATCTGTAAAATAGTATCTTCCTCAGCGAAAAATTTGCTGATTAAATGAGATAAT